TTTGTGTGTGTGTGTGTGTGTGTGTGTGTGTGTGTGTGTGTGTGTGTGTGTGTGTAGTTTTATTGGATTGGTGCTTCAATGGCGAAGGAGTCACTTTCTTCAATAATCTCTAATGACAAGTCTTGCTCCTATAAGTATCTTTCTGTGACACATCTTTGACACAAAATGGCATTTATTTTTAAACACTCGACCATATTGGGTTTGCTTTGCCTCTTAGACATCCAAGTATAGAGTGTACAGTTGAATGGAACACTCTGGACATGAGAGGTGACGTACATTGGCATTATAAATGTAAGAAGAATTTTCTTGTGTGTGAGTTCTTTTCATTTGTTAGGTACATGGAGTGCTGGATTTCTTTTTGACATGTTTATGATGCACAATACAGTGATCATTTCCAACTTCCCAGTGTTACCTTCTGTCCTTTCACTTCCTACTGATTCCTTTCTTTTTTAAAAAAAAAGAATTTTGAAAAAAAGTTAAGGTCCTAGTAACCATTGTTGTTTATTGCTGTTTTCTTAGTTTTGCAACACTGTGTCTTTAGATATTTATGACTTATACTTTGTTTCTTTTAACCATTACTGATGTTGCCTTTCCAAAGCTCAAGCCTCAAAATCAGAATAATAGAAATATTAAGATGTCTTCTGTGCCTAGACTATCTTTCAGTTTCTTAAAATGACAACATAAAAAGCTATTCTAGCATCCTATAAAAGAACAACAATAAAAAGAAACAATTAGATTTGTCTAACATTCTTCAGAGTTTTATTTACAACTTGCATAAGAGTTCTTTTCCCAAACTTGGATATAAAAATACCTTGAAAATAAAAAGGGAGTTATCTGCTTGGTCAAATTATACTTAGGTAAAGCGTGTTAATACAAATATCTCTCTACGACTGTATGCTTTTTAAGTGAAAAGGGGACACGATGCTATGCCTGGTTGTAAATTCCCATTATCCTAGCATATGGGAGGCTGAGGTAAGGGGATCACAAGTTCCAAGCCAGCCTGGACTACATAGAGGAGGGAGAGGGAGGGGGGAGGGAAAAAGAGAAAGAAAGGGAAAGGGAAAGAGAGACCGAAAGGAATCTGGGATGTAGCGATATAGCCCAGTGAAACCGCACCTGCCTGGCAAGCAAGAGGTCCTGAGTTCAAAGAGACATGCTGCAGGATCTTCTTAATGTACTCATCATCAAAGTGTTTAACAAGTCAGTAGTTGTATGGTGTGCTGTATCTAAACCACTCTTTCTGTTGCCTGGAGATCCTTGTTTATTAATGTTTTGAACTTCACAATCTCATCAGCAGTGACAACACCCATTGCCTCCTGTTACTTTTTCATCATTTGGGGGGCCTCAAGTGCTTTCAGAATGGGATTGGCTGGAGGTTTAGAAATCTGTGTGATAGCTGCTTGGATTATGGCCATGATTTCATCTTACCGTTTTCTGTTTAAGCATTGCTGTCGGGAAGACTCATGTCTCATGTTTTGAAATTTTAAGCTTACCAGAGGCTGTATGGATGGTACTTGTACTCCAGTCAGCCCACTTTCCTTCTTCTGAAGAGCAATGTACTACACTTGACATAGGAGTTTTGTTGCTGCTCCTGGCTTTTCTGTGATGTTGCTTTGGGTCATATTCCTAGCAAAATGCACACCCAGAAGGTGGAGCATTGGCTCCAAGTGGGAAAGATGGCTGTTGAAATCCTTATATCTGAAAATTCTGAAAAATCACCCTGAAGTTCAAAATTGTGCAGAACTTCTCCAATCAGATAGCCACTAGAAAATGCCTTTGCAAATGACTTGGGATCTGCTAATCACAGAGAATTTTGTCTTCAATTTTTCTGATGCAAGATCTTCATGGTACTGAGCCAAGCCCTACACCTAAAACCAATCAAGGGATGCTGTCTTCTATTCTTCTGGAACTTCACAAGATCAAGCGAAGCCCTGCACCTGATACAAATCTTCTGGCATGAGCTCAAGCCACGGCCCTCCAACTGATTCTAATCAAGTCAGAGAGTGTGAGTGAGCCAGGATATGTAACTGAGTAGAGCCAGTGCCTGCCTGGTAAGTACTGCCTGGTAATCACTGCCTTGTTGCCTTTTATAGGAGAGCCAGGTCGGGCCCTGCTGGCACTACTGTGCTGCGCTTTACACCAAGCTGAAGAAGCCCCTGGCCTTTGGAGAGGTGGCCTCCTCACCCTGTACTCACTCACCCTGTACTGTATAGTAGCTGGCCTATCTCCAGGACTCCTACAAATCCATTTAACCCTCCTGGACTTGCACACAGGCTGCAGGCGTCTCTTGCCTCTATTCTCAGTTCCCAAGCTAAGGGGCGACTGGGAGACTGGAATGCAAGTAGGTCCTGGCCTAGAAGGTCAAAGCCCTTTCAGGGTTCACAAAAGGGTGAAAAGTGCTCCAGGAAGATTGTTCCTCCAAACACATGTGTAGACCTCTTTCTAAAGGCTCCAGAGCTGTTGCCTTAGAAACAGAGAATTCTGATTTGCACACAATTTTGCATAACCACCTGCAAGTTATTGATTTAACACAGATCAACACACCCAGTCCTTTGCTTCGTTTCTCTTCAGCATTAGTGTCAAATTACATGCCTTTTCCACTTCCCCAAGCTTTTCTGAACTCCCCCTCCCCACCCTGCCTCTCCCTCCCTGTGAATGTGTGTCTTACACCCTCTCCTGGTGTCCTGCCAGGATTTGGGATGGGGTTAGTGTGGGGTTAGGGGAGGTTCCACTGAAATGTGGAAGTCACTTGGCCTTCCTTGTTGACCACCCTGGTGACAAGTGTGTGGTCACCTGGGAAAATCCTGCCCCCAGTCTCTCAGGTTTCTCACTGGAAGGTTGACTGAAGGGCCAACTGGCAACACACATAAAAACCAGAAAATTCAGTAATGCCCTTGGTTTCCCATGAACTACTGGAGCAATTGCATATGCACAAAACAGCATCTACTAAAATAGGCAGTTGGAAATATTCCTGGCAGATGGTGCTAATTATAGACACAGTGGCAGATAGGCCCCACAGAATGGCTCTTCTCCTGCTTGCTAAGAATGTGCCAGAGCCAAGAAGCTTCTCTGCTAGCTTCTCCTTTCCGGAAGATTGTGGTAACAGCCCCAGGATCTCACCTTGGTGGAGAGCTGCTAAGATTTTGTGGAGGGAAAAACATCTGAGGGTGACCACAGACTCCATGCTGGAGGGTTCCCAAGTCCTGTAAGTGTAGGAATAGAACAAAAGGAGGCAAATTATGAAATTCTGTTGAGCTGGATTCCATTGTATTGGACCCTCTGAAAGATTAACTACTCTCCCAAGAGGTCTTTTACTGAGCACACATCTGCTGAATGGATGTGAGGGTGGATATATATAATAGTTAAGGGAGGCGGTTTGGGAGACCAGAGTACTAAGATTGTCCTTTTTCTAGCTGTATGAGTGTGGTCAAGTTTTTTGACCATTTGGTGCCTCCATTTTTCCATCAGCAAAATGGGGATAATAACACTATCTACTTCATGGTTTTTTTCTTTTTTTTTTTTTTCAGCTTTAATTGAGTTTATTGGTACATTTTAGGGATACAGTACAGTTACATTCATTGTTGGGATCTTGTACCTCTACGTGACAAGTCTTGGTTCTCATTTATTTCCCCTTGTTCCTGGCCCTCCCTTTACCTCTCC